AATATCTTTTAAACGCATTTGAAATACATTTTAAATGCTTTTTAAACGCATTTGAAATACATTTTTTTTGCATGAGGGTCACTTTGGGCCTTTGAACAACTGGTCTGATGATAACAATTGATTGGCTGAACAACAGTTAACCTAACTATGAATTGTGAGACCAATTGGTTAACAATAATTGATTATAAGTAGTAATCAATATTTCCCATGTATTTTGAATGCCAAAGACTATAGCGTTACGGGAATCGAAAATTCCCGATTTGAAGCCAGTATTTGGTCAGACGGCCGGGAGTTTGAGTTTTTCTGTAATGGGATGGCTGTACAAAATTAGTGGTCAATGGATATAATGGTGGGATAACTGTGTGGTCATCTGGACTTCGGCTACGAATCGCAAATTTATGTCAAAAATAACACTTTTTTATCATTACTTTAAATAAAAAAAACCCTTATTTCGTGCGAATCAATGCCCGCCCGCCAGATGTGCCGCTAAATCATGTAACGACACGTGTTTTGAGTTCAGATTTTGTGGTCATAAACTTTGCCCATTATACCTGTCATCTTCACGGCCGCCGCCGCTGATTCCCATAATGCATATGAATAGAAAGTGTTTTGTGAAACCGGTTTAAACCGGCCATAAAATGGACACCAATTATACTAATCACATCCAAACACTTCTAATTGAAAATATATGAGCCATACCGTCCGGTTGGCTACCAATTTGTCCACTGATAACACTTTCGGGTCCACAGACAGAGTGTTCAAAAAGTTAATCCCTTTTATCAATGAATGCAAATTATTTCAAAATTTATTAATTATTTGCAATATTAAACCATTTTTGTTTAAAATATTTTATTATTTATTATAACCCTAAACAATATTACAGTTTACTGTACTATATGTTAAATTAACAATATTGAAGGCATATAGTATAATTATACTCAAGTTTTAAGATACTCATTAAAAGTTTAATAAAAACATTAATGTTGGATTCGTAAGTTTTTGATGTTTTTTTGTTTCTTCAAGTTTCTTTAATTTTGTTGGTTTCGTTGAACTCGTTTAGTTTGTTTGGATTGTTCTAGTGTTTGTATTTGGCAACCATTCCCTACTATTGGGAACCACAAACGGTAGCGCAGCCTCGCTCTTGGATTTTGTCCCCATTTCACAATCTTGCCTGAGATACTCATTAAGAGGTGGACCCCCGCTCTCATGTCTGCCCTCTTCTATACATTTGATATTAACGTTAATAAACAAATCCCAATCACTTGTGGCTATATGTTTGAGATGTGGCAAACATTTGCCACTTTTAACCATCGGTGGTATTCTGCGATAACTAGTGTTTCTGCCGCCCGCGTGAACCGGCACCTCATCTAGACTTACAAACAGTTCGTTCGCCATTTTGTTTGCCATAAGTTTGTTGCGATGGTTTGCGTTAAATAACTTGACCCAAAAATTTATTATCATCTCAAATAGAGGATCCTGGTCGAATAGAACGGCCAATTTATTGTTAAAAAAATCTGGATCGTTATTTATCATCATCGCTATATCGTATTTAACAGCTGTTATATTTGAAACAATATTATTGATACAGTGTACTGAATAAGCTAATAAATGGCATTTGAAATAATTTCTGTGATTACATTTATTCATACTTACGTAACATATAATTATCGAGTTCCATTTTAGCGAAGTTGATATACCCTAATGACGTGATTTTTCTATGTTTGTCAAAAAAGTCAGCGATCATGTGCAAAATGAATTGCCTGTATAATATGTCGATAGCGTTCCTATTAGTCAAATGCAAACACCGTCCGACTTCTCCGAGAACAGGAGTACCCGATTTTGATACTCCGAAGTGGTGTATATATCCGGTGGCAAAAAATTCCGCGGGGTAATATTCCGGCACAAATAACGTCTTGGCTGTACGGATTATATCATTGGATTGCGGCCATATTGACAGTGGATTGAAAGCGGTAACATTAGCTAAATCAAGTATATTTGTACTTAATATGGTATTAGAAGTTATTTGCTTAAATTGACCAAGTAGATATTGGTCAAGTGAACCGTTGGACAGGGCACTCAATTGAATTAACAATATTAATAATAATTTTAGCATTTTGGTTTAATAGTATAAATTATGCTAATAAAGTTCAAAAACATGTTATAATGATATCTAATAAATTCCAAATGTGTTTCAAACATTTAATTATTTTGCATTATAATTATAAAATTTTACTTTAGAGTAAGTAAATTATTGTCAATTAAATATCTAATAATTTTAATTATTTATTCAACGTTAATATAGCTCTACCGAAACTTCACTATGGAATGTGATAAGTATAAATTAAATATTAATATTGACTACAATTTAAAATAAACAAAATATTAAATAAAGGTATAAATAAATAAACTCTTTTTAAGTTATTTAAAATTTCAATAGATTCAATTAAAAATTGTATAATAATTCTCATTTGCAAATAACAACATTTTTAATTAGTTTTAACAGAAAATTTAGAATTTGCATAAAATTAAACAAGGATCACACAGCGATGCTCACAGGTTAATTTAAACACAAAATAACCTGCAAGCCTGTAAATATTTATATGTATCATTAAAAGGTAACTAGAGAAAATGTTTTGATGCTAGTTTTTTGTAATGTTGTAAAATTTTAACGCTAATTTTTAGTTAAAATTAATTAAATTATATAATATTAAAACCTTTTCAGATAATTAATTAAATTAACAAAAATTGACTTTTAATTAATTTTCATTGTAAAAATTATATTAAATTAAAAACATATTTAAAATCTACTAGTAATGGATGTAAGCACGTTAACACATGAACAAACAACATTAAATTTATAATTATATTTTCATATTACAGTAATTGTCGGGTAAAGAAACTAATTCACCTCTCCAATTCTACCCCGATTATGTCGGCGCCTATTGAACGTAAATACCCGGTCCCGGAGCGATGCGAAACACTACTGCAATTCGAGTTCAATCCGCTGCAAATGGTCAAACCCCTGATGGACAGGGCTTTATCATGATCGTTTGACACCAGCCAATTCACCAAGGCACATTTCAAGCGCATGGAGGGAATCACAGTTTACACCTATTTTTGGCCGTTTACTCGGGATGAAGTTAAATATGAGACCCTGGTCAAAATGATAATGAACTATGGCGTGTTTGACGACCACCAAGAAACTATTTACGGTCACGTGGATTGGGACGTCGACATAGCGGTGGCCATAATTGGCCAGTTGTACGCCGTGTGCGATAAGCTAGAAATGAGTGGTTCGGGTCGACACGTGTCGGCCATACGCTGGAAGCCCAACAGTTTGGCCGCGTATGCCGTCTATGAAAAGGTCTATTCGACTTTAAATGAGGCGCAAAAGCGTCGCTTTTCACTCGTGTTTAGGGAATGGATCGACGGTATGATCGAAGTGCGCCGATATGAAGGCCAAACGTAAATTCAAAAACCTTGATCAATTTATTTAAGTTTGTATTTTATTTTAATCTTTATTATATTGATTTAAAATATTACGCCCACACAAATAGGTTAGGGGCAAATCAATTGCAACAATGTCTTTATTACACCTCATTGAATACGCGGACTCACTGTACGTATCGGAGCCCGAGTGGAGTCACCCATCGATGCGGGCGTTGTTCGCGCACTTGAATCGGGCGCTCATAATATGCAACGACATGTACTCATTTGAGAAGGAGTTGTTAGACGCCGGGGGCCGACGGCGTGTATAACAAAGTGGCCGCCAATGCGGACATCGAGGGTATATCGTTGACGGAGTCGATGGACAGACTCGTGGCGGAGATGGAGAGCGCAGAGAAGGCGGCTCTTGTCGTGTGCCGAGAGATAGAGTCGGCCGACTGGGCGTCGGCTGACACCCGACTGTTTGCCCGCCGGTGTCTCTATATTATGGGCGGTCACTGGAAAGTGTGCACATTTCTCGATCGCTATAATGAAATGCTCAAGCTCAAACCATTTCTGTAACTGTATGAATTTTATTACCAATTTAAAACTTATGCAATGTATTAATTTTAAATAGATTTGTAACAGGGACATGCAGCATAATTTATACTTTGTACACAATTTAGATGAAATGATTAATTCATGTAAAATTTTAATTAAAATTTATTTGTTATACTTTATTTAATTTGTAACTTTTATATTAACTGGGTTTATACAGTATACAAAGTATAACTTATTTATAAAAACTAATATTATGTGCCGCCCGAAACTTATCATTCACTTTAGAAAATATTATAATTTTGAGTTTTGTTTTATTTAGTTTTGCAAAACTAGTTTTAAGTATAAGGTATAAATATTTAATCATATATAGTATACCTCTCGCGGAAAGTACTGATAATCCCTGTCGTGGACACCGAACTCGCACTTCCACTCCAACGCCCGGCGGAGCGAGTCGTACGCCCCGTCGGCCGACCCCTTGTCCGCCACAAACTTCTCGACCTCCCAGTGCTCTGTCCGCACTCTCTCCACGTCTATCGTGTGATACAGACGTGGATTAGTGTCCGCTTCGTTGAGAAACCGGCGCCGAACCACTTCCACGACCGTCTCGTTTGACGTATCATATAAATATAAATATGGTTGATATTTAATTAAATATATAAATGTCATAACAACTATGTGCAAACCATATTTGCTAATATTTAATTAATTTTTATATATCTAGTCTATAACTTATAGACTATAAGTAATAATTATTTTTACGTAATTTAATGGCCATGTATTTAAATCAAGTAATTTATATTGGATTTTATTTTAAAATTACCTTGGCTCATTTGAATCATCAAAATTGTAATTTTCCAATTGCTAAACAAACAGAGTTTAAAAATGTTAATAACTTAAATTATACTGATTTGACAATAAAAGTACATTAACATCTCATATTAAATGTACATAACGATATTTATTACTTTATTATTTTAATCTAGGCAATCTTACATGGTAAACAAGCGGTGTGTAAAAAAATTAAACTCAACTTACCCGCCAAGCGTCATTTAGTAATGGTCAGTAAAATTAATTTTTAGTTGCATCAAGTCATTTGGTGTATTGTAACTTATAAGAATAATGCTCATTGTACATTGTATAAAGAAATATCAATTTTACTACAACTTTTTATACGACACCCAATTTGTAACAAACATTTGCTTTTAACTGATGGTTACTTATAGAGAGAATTTATTGTATTACAAATTATCAATTACGCGAATAGATAGAAGCGTTTGGTAATTTTAATTTGTGCCGTTATATACACGACCTGTTGATATACGGGTGCGACCCCCGGGACTCCCATCTACACGTTGGCCAAGTGGTGGACTGCGGCGACGCCGCACACGTGTCGACCACTATTGGCCGCTGTTTTCGGCCGTTCGTAATGTTGGAAGTGATGTCAAAACAGGGCAACTCTTGGCGACTGCCCGACGACCAGGCATTTCCTATAGGTTTGCCCGAAACTATGGTCGTTAACTTAATGACCCACTTTCACCACTCGGACCCCGCAATATGGGGCCGACAGCTCGAGTGGACGGTACGTTTATGGCACTCGGACCCGGTGCGACCCAAAGAGTTGCAAATGTTGGTTATGGGCGTGAATTTTGACGCCGGTTTGTTAATACCCGCCGGACGCAAACGGTTCGTGAACGCCGGCCACTGCGGTGGAAAGTGTTTAAACAGGGTATAATAAATATTATTCACACGTTGTACTTATTTGTGGTGTAGTTCAGGTTGTTTTAGCTCACGGGGGTGTTTGGGTGGCAATTTAGCAGCTAATCGCGAACTACATTATATACGGGTACTTTGTTTGTTGAGTTATCGGGCCTTGTCGGCAAACCTCGGTCCTAGATTAATAAAAACCTACCTATAGTCTTAATTTTTAACCACAATTTAGCTATGAATAATGTGGTTTATAGGATCGTGATAAAATAAAAAATACTATAAGAGATATACATAAGATGGTCCCAATGCAGAAGAAATTGTTCAACATATTTATTCATATCAATTTTAAATTGATTATTATCTATGTTATAGATTAATCCAACTGGATTTAACATAACTATTGCACAACCACACATTCACAGATATGGTATTTATGCATCAAAACATGTTATCTAAACTCTAAATTGTAATGTCAATAGCCTTCGCCAATATTTTGAAAACATAAATTCACTTTTCAGTGGTCTAGGATTTATACTCATTCAAAGAATGTCAATTGCTAATAATAATCTAATCGTTTAATTCTAAATAGATATTAGAATTGATACTTGAATTTAATATAAATTATACTTTACTATTATAAAACTGGGGAAGCAGTCATTTGCTCGAAAACATTTGCTTTAATATACATTAAATTAGTAAATATTACAAATAATATTATTAAATAAGAGTGTGAGTTAGTTTTGGATAGTTTGGTTAAGGTAGGTTATGTTTAACAAGTTAATTTTATCGAGCAAATGTCATAGACCCATAATACGGTAATGTAATATTAGATAATGATTTTAACTAAACTTGATCAAATTGGAATTTTTAAAATCTGTATTAATGACACCTAATAGTTATAAATATCCTATTCACAAATGTCCTACTTTTACACATTTTTACTCTATTTTAGTTAAGACAGTTGTCGCTAGGGATAGGCTATTGTGTGTAACTGTAGGACATTTGTGAATAGGATATTTATGATTATTAGGTGTAAATGATTAATAGAAATATGTTTTATAATTAGGCAGCAATTTGATTTTGAGGCACTTCCGTGGGGGCAAAGAAATGCCCGTAATTTATGAACAGCACAACATTCGGGATTTGCACGAATTGGCACCAGTGGTGTTGGCCCGGGAGGTGCACATCGAACCGGACGATACGTTAACAGTCGAGTGCACGTACGACAGCACCCGATATAATCGGACCAAAACTATATTATACTCGGTATGTATTCTCTATATCATAGTCTCTAACAGAGTCGAAATATAGTATTTTTTAAAACAGTAATTTATAAATATAAAAACCCAAAAACATTAACTGTAATGGTACCATTTTCAAAATTCTAGTTACACTACAACTATTTTAGAACGCTTGGTTTCAAGTTGAACTAATATTAAGTGTTTAAGTTAAGTTGAGTTTCAGTAATTAAATTTTATATGGTTAAATTACAGTTAGTTATTATAATTGCTAAATGTCCACATTATATATTCAGGTTTCTAGACCTGATGATGAAATGTGCAACGTGGCTCTATACACCCACCCGGCTGTCTATCATGATCATAGTCACCTCTGCTTATCCGGTCACGGCCAAGATTTTTTGCGCCGAATATCTGGCTTTGATAATTGCACAGGGTAACAATTACAATTTTGATATAATTTTGAATTAATTAAAACAAGGTTACCACAATATTCTACTACACAAAAGCACAATTTCGATGGCGCAAGTGTATAATTTGTTTAGGATGGTGGAGAATCAAATCACCGTGAATTTTAATTTTTCAATTTTTATCCTGAATCCATAATAATACTAAGAGATAAGGACTTATGGGTAACTACTTTCACCCCTATGTCATAGTAAATACTGTAATGACCCGCAACTTATTCAATTTGAAATAATTTAATAAACTGTTATATTAAAATATAATGTTGATTAAGTTACAGATAAGTAGAGCTTATACTTGGGAACAGACACTCTATTCGTTGAGCATCACCATTGTTTTTATACAATTATTTGTCGTTTCAACTGTTTTATTCCTAAATACAAAACTGTATTTAATAGCAATATATAGTTAATACATAAAATTGTATTAACAATAAGCTAAAGAAAAGTTTAGATTTTTAAACATTAGAAATATTTATATTCTTATGTAACATGTACCATTAATTTATTTAATCTTATTAACAAACAGGTTATATAATTATAAATCACCCCGAACATTGGATAACTTTATACGTGATAAAACCGATTGGAGCCGTGATATACAAGACATTATTCGTTATGAGAAACAGAGAGTAATGTGTGCTTTGATTAATTGGGACAAAGATGGTTTGATTGGCTATCCTGATCATTATATACCAGCCCATTTTAAAGGCAAATTGTTAAATAAAAACTAGCCTCAGAATCTTTTCCAAAACTACACTTATTTAATCGACTTTGAAATTCTACCTGGGTTAATTTTTACATTGTTGATGTGATTAGAATTGTTATAATTAAAATTAATTCTTATTTATCAGACAAACTTTATTCATTTATTATGCAATGTATTAATTGTAAATAGATTTATAACAAGAATATGAAACATAATTTATATTTTGTTAGTAATTCGTATAATTATAATTATTAATTAAGCCATTAAGCCATATAATTATTAATTCGTTAGTGTTGGCCAAAAAGAAATTTCTTAGAAATTTCTCATGAACAAATTTCTCGGAGAAATTTATCAAAACATTAAATAATTAAGTTAATAAACTTAGAAACAAAATATGTTCAATTAAATGTGTGTTTATTAACTACTAATGCATGCACTGAAATGATAAAACACACAAAAATACATAAAATTGGCTCAAATACCATAGAAAGACCCCAAAAAATAACGTAATAATTAACTCGTGTAATTTATGTGAAGCCTTTGTATTCATGTGTATTGTAATAAAACCCATTGGATTACGTGGGGTTCCCATAGGACACCAAATGATGCGATTTCTTAAATAAAATAAAGCCATAATTAGAAGCAAAATAGAGTGTCCAGAATGTTAAACATGACCATAAAATTAGTTTCATTTAAATAAACACAAAAAAGTCTTAATTAATTGTAAAATCAACATTGCAATAAAACACATGTTTATAAAAAAAAAGTCCATAGTTTACTGTGGGGTTCCCATAGACATTGTGCATTGAAATGTACAAGACTTCTATTGAAATGCCAATTAACATAAAATCAATTTACTAATATTTAAAAAGTTGTTTTATACTTAC